GTGTCACCTCTGCAGACGACAGATAAGGTGCTTTCAATCTCCTTGTAAAATCACAATACATTCTGCATCTCTTTAAGAAGTGCGGCGCGTTATCGCCCGGATAGATCTGAGTGCACCTCTCCGCATTGTATAGCTGAACAGAGCGGGGGGAAGGGGGGAGCGCCGGAGCTGCCAGACAGATGTGGATTAAATAGAAGTCAGATTAGAAGGGGGGTGAAATTATTATTTCTTGTGCGGCCCCGAGGCCAGGAGAAGCTCCCGGCTCCATATTACAATGTATCCTCCATCACCAGAAATAGAAGAGGCCGGATAATACCCCCGTATCATTCATGTCATCTCTGGAGGGTCCTCAGCCAATGGCGTCGCACAAAAAGGGAAAGAAGAAAGTTGCTGTAAGCGTTCCATGTTTGTGGTTCTGTCACCGGCGGGTAAGCCGGGTCCCAGCGCCGGCTACAAAAACTTCAACATACGTGTAGGCCGGATAGTCTACACCGGGGGGCTAGCAAACCTCCGGCCCACCAGCTGTGGTGGAACTACAAATCCCAAGAGGCGTTGCAAGATTCGGAACACGGGATGGGAGTGGGAGGAGTCACATTATTCTGTATGCGAATGTACTCCGCCTCTTGTGCAAATGTTGCAGCATAATGATATTCTAAGAGGAAGGTGTGGACAGCCTACGACCTCTGAACTGTGCAGCTAGCAGAGGTCAAGCCAAGAGGTCCCGGGTCCTGCTATTGTGTCTGCATTGAGGAAGTCGCACAGCACACGGACAGTATGGAGGCATGAACTATTTTTAAGTCGAACTTATAGATTGTTTGCATTAAAAGGAGAAGTACGGGGTCAGTGCTTTTTCCCCATAGTTCTCCCCAGGGTCACAGGAGGACACAAACAAGCGTCCTCCCGTGACCCAAAGCTCAGTATACCGCGAGCTACAGCTCACTATATACTGAGACTGCCACAGCCGGGACGGATCCCGACATTACTGTCTGGATCCACCCAGCTGCGTGATTGACAGCTGGCTCTGCCTATCTAGAGCCAGAGCCAGCTGTACCCGCCCCCTCCCCCGTCCGTTCCTCCACTCAGTGCTGGATGATCGGAGCAGGGAGGAGGGGAATCCCTGCAGGGAGAGGTGACTGACAATCACTGCTCTCTGCAGGGAGATGATCGGAAAGTGAGCGTACGCCGGTATGCGTTCGCTCACTTTCCGATCTATTGAGCCGACCTGTGACAGTCTCATTGACACACATCGGCTCCAACTATGAGGATGAGTGAAAAGCCCCTCCCCCTCATAGTTCTTCTTTAAAGGAAGGAAATGTAATTCTGCTACAAAGTATTTTTATGAGCCCCTTCTAAGGTCTCCTGAAGAGATCGGACCATCCTGATGTAAGAACGTTCAACGCCTCCACCTGACACCCGGGCAAAGACAAAGGCTGATGTCCCAGGTACCGGCATTCTGCAGTCCCATTGGCTGATCTATGATACGCCCCATGTGCTATAGTGCACAGAACCGCCCATATTACAGGTCAACCAATCAAGCTATAAACACATGTGCAGTGTGCCCATCCTGGATTGGTTCTGTGTTTTCCAGTGTGGGACCAGTGTGGTTGTCAGGCAGCAGAGACTACCGTCCTGACACTAGAACAGGAGAGATAGAGGGAATTAGGGGGGGAGGCGGGATAATGAGGTCTATGGAGAGGATTCCTGACCTCACAGTAATGATATTTAAAGTTAAGTCAAAGCTTCTCAATAATTCGTTGTAATATATTGCCAATCGGCATCACTCACCGAGTTTGGCGTCAGCGGAGCGCCAACGACGTCAATGATTGGATCTTTCCCCTCTAGTTTGATGTCCTCTGTGCTGATGGCGGCCAGGCCCTCCACGCCGGCTCCCTCCGTCGTCACCGCCGCCGCCGCCGCCGCCGTGCTGGTGACCCCCTATTTGGATAAGGCTTCGAATCGATGGCGAAGCATTTGCAGCTCGTACTCGCAGTTGGAGAACGCTTGTTTGAGTTCGTACAGCAGGACCAGATCACTGCGCAGCTCGTTAAACATCTGGACAATCTCTTCTGTCGGCATCGGATTAAGATCTGCGGGGGAGAGAACAGAGCGGGGGTGTGGTGAAATATCAGACAGACCCAAATCAGAGAGGGACTCCGGCATCCCCGCTGGGCCCAAATATGACCAGAACTGGCCGCAGGAAAAGACAAATCTATAATAATAAACTTTTCTCAGCCTGACCCTCCGTCATGTACACATATAGCACAGTGACCAGGTGACACAATACGGGGACATGATAGAGGAACACCGAAATATATGGAAATACAATTTAATTTAAATGTATAATCTGCACTGCTGACCCAGTATTA